CAGCAGCAATAGGCGTTTCATTTTAGAACAACCCCGAAGTAGTACAATGTTTGATTTGAAGGAATGGCAGTTATTGGAGCCTCGTTTACATTCGGTTATTTGTGACCAATGTCGATTCGGACTTGTTAATTAATTAGGCATGGCACTAAAGAAACCGACCAAGTTTGTGGCATCACATCCGATCCTTCTTGAGCAGTTGAAGAATAAGACATGTTTGGAAAGACACTCACATGGCAAGGTGACAGCAGAAGCCGAGCGATGGCCGCTCAGACTGTGCACGGCCATCGCCACAGGCATAGCTGTTTTGTTGTGTGAAAGATGTGAAGAATCTCAACGCATGTTGGTTTTGCCAACTTTCGGTTGTCTGGGTTGCAGAGGACATGTGCGCAGAGATGACCCCAGACACGTCCGTGATGAAACATGTAAGTATAAGGACGAGGCCTCTACAGAATGGACATGCAAGAAATACCGACATCGTTCAGATACCCGTCACACGCTTGGTCCCGACTGTAGATGGGCCATAGCCAGTACAAGAACCGAAGGAGCAGGAAGAGCTCGACGTGGGCATCATCCACGTGATCCCGCAGCGCCTGCTTCGAGTGATCCCACAAGCCGACTAAAGCTACCAGAGGAACATCCAAGTCAAGTAGAATCCGAAGCAGTTGAGCCCGAAGTGTTGACTCAAGCAGCTGCTCGTCGTCGAGCAAAGCATAGTATTGAAGTGCAAGCAGGACATGACCCTGACTTGGTAGAAGCTAGTGATGTCTTGCCCGATAGTGTTGAGCCATCAACTAGCTCTGGGTCATCTCGAGACAGAGCACCTAGTCCATCAGGCGAGGGTGTTGTGGATGAAGGTCTTGTGCCGTTGCCTGAAGCTCCATCCTGGAGTAAATTCGAGCTTGGTACAGCGCTCCAGCTCCTTCGCTCCGTGAGACCTGGTGTTGTTCGAAGGACATTGAGAAGATTGCGCATAAGATGGTATCTCGCTCCAGCAAATGCTACACTGCTGTTAGCCTGGCGTGCCAGCCTGCCGATGTCGTGTCAACGTGTCATATCTGTCGGGCATGGTCTAGGCCGTCTGCCAGATCCGTTGTGTCTTCAAGACTGCCAGAAAAGTTCAATCAAGAAGTTGAAATGGACTTACTGTTCATTGGCATCCATGTAGTGCTTCATTCAATTGACAGAGCAAATAGGTGGAGTGCGGGTGTCAAAATCCCAAATCGCGAAACACAATCAATACTTGCTGGTGTTGAGGAGGGCTGTATAACGCAGTTCGGACCCCCAAGCACTCTCATCTCAGATCAGGAAGGCGGTCTAAATGAGGTGGCTGGTGCCTTTCTAGAGCAGCTCGGTGTAAAGTTGGATCTTCGTGCTCGTGGACAGCACGCAGGCATTGTTCAGAGACACAATGCGATCCTGCGAAAACAAGTGCACTTGGTTGACGGCCAAGCTGTTGCCGATGGTTTACAAGTTTCATTTGAAGATGTTCTGGCTGAAGCAGTTTATTCCAAAAATGTGTTGTGCCAGTATGGTGGTTTCACTCCCTATGAAGCACTGTACGGTCGCACACCTCCGTTGTTTAATGTTTGGGATGAAGAAGTAGATAGTCCTATGAAACTTAGAGAAATAGCCTTATAAGATCTATGATCCAAGCAACAGCTGCGGCCAAGCTGACTCGTGCCGATTCAACCAATTCCAGACCAGCTGGAGAACTCGTGCGATTGGAAGTAGGAGATGCTGTCGACATCTATATCGTCCCACACTGTCTAAGGACGTTTCTCGATGGAATGGACCAGCCACAGTGACAGACTTGACCTCTCTCCGTGACGGGATAGTAGGCGTCAAGTAGCAGGGGCGTCATTTACAAGTCAGAGTGCAGGACTGTCGAAGAGCTTTGGCTTACATGTCCGTTCCCATTCTGTTTGGAGGCAGTTTGTCTCCAATCGATTGTCTGAGAAGAGCCGCTGAAACCTTTGATGGTGTAATGCGACTTGGTTGGATAAGGAAGGGTGGCGATTGGATTAGCTGTGAAGGTAACAAGGGTTTCAAGGATGTCCTTCATGCTGGACTGCATGTTGCAGCAGTCAACCTTCAGCTACTCGGTGTGTTCAGCTTCCGATTTGGCAGTAACGTGAAAACGCTCTCTGGACTCTACTGTGATGAGCCCTTGCTTTGTTGGTGGAAACCATCTGAATTCTACTCTTGGAACTACGCTTTCCATGCTGGTAGCCAAGCAATTAATGTGTATAACCTTGGTGGGCCTAACACATCATTCGTACAGTTTTTGATGGAAGATGGTGCCGCACACAGCTTAGAAAGCTAAGCATTGATATCGCCAATATCGGAGGAGGTGTTCATGAACCCCGCACGCCGATTGTTCGTGAGTTGCCGCTTGCCTCTGACAATAGTCATCCTCGACCCAAGCAACGCCATCCAAAGATGATAGCTGACAAGCTAATGAGCATGATAACCAGCCCGAAGTGTTAGATCCTGCATCAGTTCCTCCTGATGCCATAAATGATTCGCTAGATGAAGGCGCGCAACAAGAAGCCAATGACCTTGTTGGATGGGTAAGTAACATGCCAGATGAAGGAACAGAACTGGAACCCGATGAGTTCATCGGATGGACATGCGCTGCTGCACCTCCTTCATGGCCGTGCCTGCATCCACTGCCTTCAGAGATCTTTGTGATCGAAGAAGACACCGAACCAGCAGAACTTGAAATCAGCAAAGAACTGTTGCCCTACTTGGTGATGTCTCAGACGCCGTCAGTGAATTCCGAATCCGATCTAGTGATGAAATATTCAGTTAATCGTGATGATTCAGCTTTGTACGGTGCAGTGATTGAAAGAACGCACAATGTGTTGACTCGTGAAGAAGCGCTTGCGCATGCTGACAAGTGTCGATTATCCATGATAAAGGAACTTCATAGGTGGCGTAAACACCAAGCCTGGGAAAGGTCACCTCTGACCAACAGTTTGAATTTGCTTAGATCCAAACGGGTGCTAAAGTGGAAGCAAATAAAGTGTGAAAAGGATATTAAAGGCAGATTAGTAGCGCAAGGGTTTCAGGACAAGCAGTCTAGGTACTTTTAGTGGAACAACTTCTAGATGGGGTCAGAGAATCGTTCTTGCCATTGCCGCTCAGTTCAGCTGGCCGTCTCGGAAGCGTTCCTCCGTGGCATTACATTCAAGGAGTTGGCTGCAATGGACAAAAGTCAACCTCTTCAAGAAGTTGAGATCTCACTGCCGCCTGGCTCAGAACAGCTACTTCGTACGCTGCAGTTCTTCTCTTGTCCGGTCATGTTGATGACCTTAAGATCACAGGAGAACCAGATCAAATCAAATTAAGTCTCGATCTCATCACTGAGAATTTCGATGAACTCAAGATTGACAAAGACAATTTTGACCACTTGGGGTTAAAGCATACTCTTCTGAGCGATGGCAGTCGAACCATCGACCAATCCCACTATGTGGCAGAGCTAATCATGACCAACCTGTAGACGAACCTGAAATCTCAGTATCTGTCATTGCTGGGTGGAATTGCGTGGGTGACTCAGTCTAGGCCAGACGTTGCCGTTTTTGTGGCTGCATTGCAGCGAAAACTACAGGCACCCTGTGGAAAAGATGTGCTTAATCTAAATCGTGTTCTTTCCTATCTAAAGCGCCGACCGGTAAAGTTCACATACAAAAAGGTGAACAAGCCGTGGAGAGTGTATGTGATTTTGGATTCAAGCTTTAAAGGCGACGGCGACGAAGCACTTGCGATGCGCAGTGGAATTGTTGCGCTGGGCGATCGTGATGGTCCAGTTGTGGGAGACAATCCCATACAAATTCTTGATTTCGAGAGCAAGAAACAGACTCGAATTTGTAGGTCAACTTTCACCGCTGAGCTGTATGCCTCACTGGACTTAATTTCTCTCGCTAACGTTATCAATTTGTCCTTAACTGAGATCCTCTCAGGTTGCAAAAGTGCCACAGAAATGGCTGACATCCAAGAAAAGGGCCTTAATTCATTCGAATGTGACATCATCCTAGACGCAAGATCCGTTTTCGAATGTGTGAAGGCTGCCGATGTGAAGACAACGACGGATCGTCTCAGGTTGATACACGCATTAAAACTCAAAGAGATCTTGGCCCCTTAAGAATAGCCAGCAGAATGATTTGGACGGACACAAGAGACATGTTGGCTGACGATCTCAATAAAGGCAGTGTGCCTCGAGACGCCTTAAGACATGCTTGCGCTCTTGGCTTATGGAGCATCCACCACGACTTCAGCTCCCATATCACGCCGATCGCTGTCCATCCATATCGTCCGTTTGCATCGTCGCTGCAGGCTCGAGCTCCACTTCCGTTGGCCCATTGCGGGCCGGCCTTTGTAGGCCGTTCGTTGCATCTCGTCCTTTCACCTCCTTGCCGTGTATGACATATCGACTGGCTTCAACCGCTGGAAAAGGAGCGATGGCCGCTAGATGTTGGTCATATGAGAAGGGACGCGCTTGTTTTGACTCAAGCAATCCCTTCTTGAGAAGTGTTGTGCATCCATGTCTCGACTGTAATAGTGTACGAACTTGATTTGCCTGTAATTACCGCCAAATCATCAGTTTAAACCATGAATAGGTTGCCAATACCATTCACCTAAGTGTTCCCTCACTAAGTTCTTTTCCATGCATGCCATGGGCACGATTGAGTGGGCAGCATGCGTTAGGGCTGTACTGCAGAGAAAAGCCGCACCTTTGTAATGTACCGTGCACCAGACCTACCCAGACAACAGGATGTATTTGGGAAATACACACGTTTTCAATCGTTTTCACTACCCTTGTTTTTGTGCATTACATTATACTCTCTTAAACGGAGTGTGTTTGTCAGACTTTGAATTTGTAGAATGGAACTGTCTCGGGCATGTTCGATAAAGGGGTCGTGCCATTTCAGTAAGGGGTCGTGCCGGGTGTTGCAAAGAGTTTTGAATGCTTGGCGCTGTTCGGTGCGAGCAAAGTACAGGTGGTGATGTATGCTGACAAGGCGAAAAAGCTGGCAGACACGGCAGCACAAGACCAGGTGCAAGTGGGGAGAGCGGGGAGCTGGGCCGTGGTTGTACGTTCCCACAAGGTCCCATAAGAAAGGACAGTTGACACATGCATTTTTTGCGTCATTTCCGAAAGATATTGAATCTTGAAAGTTTGCCAGTCTTGCAAGTAAAGGAGCCTTTGTTCACCATGTCAGTGCTGACAGGAGTTCTCTCCAAGCCTTTTCTTTTGTTTTGTCGCCCGATCATCCCGTTTCCTCCTCTCAGCTCTATCAACGTTTGTTGATATTTTTTGCGTTTGACGATCTGTGATATTTTTGGACAGCCCAATGAGTTTGAAGCGCCACGAAACGCCAAAGTGACACGCTCCAAACAAAGACGTTTCTCCCCTTGGCAAACATAATTTGTTCCTCTGTTCCATGAACCCGTTTCATCCACCTGGTGCATTTCAAAAGAAATCATTTCAATGATAATTTGGGTTGTGATTCTGTTGCACGCATGGCGGACTCTCAAGTTGAGCAACCACTGAAAGACAACTTCTTCAAATGACTGGCAACGGTAGCTGGGTATCTGTTGATGCAAGGCCACTGGGAGCGCTGTGCTCGCGGCGAAGCACATGCTGCAGGACGGGACCACCTCGACGGTTTTATCGCCGCTTGTGCTCCCGTCATCGCTGGTCCACGCGTTGAGTTGAAACGATCTCAACAGCGCCAGGCCCACAAGTTGATGCATATGGCCAAAGAGAAAAAGGTGCACCGAGTGAATGGAGAGCATGGCACTGTTGCAAAAACATACCCAGTACCCAGAAAACGCCAACGGGTGAAGAAGCATGAAGATACACCTTCCAACGCCCTGTTTGGCCTGTTTGGAGCATTTCGCTTGAGGGCATCACTAGGGCCACAGACATTGATATTTCAGAGCAACCGATCGAGTGGCGGTCTCTTTTTGCAGGTGAGAAGCCTTGGTTTTTGGTAAGAAGAAATCGGTTCGTTGACGCACTTCCTGTGTGCAACAAACAAAGCAAACTCCAAAATGAAGCAGTCCTTACAAAAAAGCTTTGCGACCCCCAATCGGTCAACTATGATTTGGAACATTCGGAAACCATGATTGTTGGGGGTGATAAGAAAATGAGTTTTCTTGCCCAAAATGCAATGCCAGATTTGCTCCCCGGTAGAAAAGGACTGAGAAGGCTGTCACCCGTGTGCGTCCGGAACGGACTGCCGAACCCACAAACCCTCAGGTGCGGGCATTGAAAGTGCGAGCTTTGGCAGAGAGGCTCAACAGCAACGTTTTGCCCGCCTACAGACAGGCCCCCGTTGGACAGAGATTCAACGTGAAACTTGAGTCCTCGTGAAACTTGCTTCACGGCATCGTGCTCAATGTTGAAAGACAGAGAGAGGAAGAACCTAGTGGAAAGCATTTGCGCTATCCAGAACGGTGTCCGTGCAACTCATAGGCCGTGAAGGTGGCTGGAGTTCACGCAGCTTTTGGGCAGTCACAGCCACCTGGCTGAAGTTCAATAATGGACGGTTTGGGCATTGACAGTTGTTTTCAATTGTTCAAAGTTGGTCTTCATCAGCAGTTCAACTCGAGCCGTAGGGTTGCAAGTGCGCCCCGGTGTTTGTCCTATTTTTGTTTTCTGGGTTTCTTCAGTATTTGTACAAAGTAGGTACAAGGCATACAGCATACGGTGTAAATCGATGTAAGGGATTGACGAATGTGACAGGCACAAGTCAAACCTGTATCGATTGGATCAGGCACCCTTTTGTGTGTTCGGATATTCTTCGCGTCGTAGCATGTTGTAGCAAGTAGAACCTTTCCAAGGCACCTGCGAAAGAACTGAGCGACTCTGACGAGTCGAAGGAAAAGGCTGCACAAAAAGGGCGATTGGAATTGAAAGGCGAAAAGCAATGCCTGATTTGAACAAAAAGCAAAAGGAGACTCGAATAAATGAAGCTCTTCGCTCCTCGCCTTTCCGCCTGGCTTTGGCCCGAAGGGCCCGAAAGGGCCGAAAGGAGTTCAGTTACAAAACGTGTTTTCAGTGTAACAAACTTGTTCCTAGTAGCGATGCCAGGAGCCCCTAGTAGCTTCTTGCTCCTAGTAAGGCCATTTGAATTTTGATGCGTTCTTTCTTTTGGGGAGAAATGACAGATGGGTGCCAATGACCGGAAGCGATGCAGGATGAGCTCAGAAAGGTCGGGCATCGGGCATTAATGAATGTTTATTTGACGTGAATGCAGTGCAAATAAATACCGTGAAAAAGGAATGCAATTGCTTCCGGTTTCAACCATGGTTTGAAGCTGTCCGAGGTGGAGCTGTTGGCATGGGTTGCACACTTGCGCTACATGAACTGGCTCTGCAGCGATCCATTTGTGCAGAGTGTCACGCGGAGACCTTAAAAGCCAATTCTCCTCACAGCCCGGCGCAATGCTCTGCCAAGGCTCTCCTGCTTTGGCGCGGAATTGATACTTTGCCGCGGACGGGGTTCGGTCAGTCTTTTTACGCCCTTCCCGAGTGGCCCGTACAAACTGGTTTGCTTTGTCACGACGTTGACCGACCAGCTGGCGCAAGTTGAGCTTAAAGCCATCGGGGATTCTGCGCTACAATCGTTTGAGAAAGAACACACAGGAAACCCAGAACAGCGTACGCATCAATTTTGAAGTTGGCAAGCAGGTCTTGTCAAAGTGCAATTCAACAACTCTGTACAAATGCCAGGAACTGCGGAGGGCTAACTCATCGGATCGAGTTGGATTTCGTTTGTCATTCTGATCGGTTTTGGTGCTGAGGGGAGCTTCACCGTCTCTAAAGAGCGTCCTGCGGCATTTTGCCGTGGAGGTAAGGTTCGTGTTTTGGATTTCAACGATATGCTTCAATGTTTTTTTCCCCCTCCTCCCTTCTTAATTAAGTAGGCGCCTACTTAATTAAGTAAGGAATTGAGGTAGCTAGTAGTAGCTAGGTAGCTACTAGTAACTGGACGCAGGATAGCTCACGTTTCTTCAAGGAAGCGCTCGCACTAATGATTTGGTTCCTAGATTTTTAGGGAAACTCAACTAATAGTGGAGTTGTAGCGGTTTAGTTGATACGAATCAATGGCAGATTCCGCCTCCCATGGTGGTTTGCAGGTGTCTGAAAGCAATTTGGCTTTGCCACGGCTTCTCACCGCTTGCAGCGCAGCACGCTTGGGTCAGGACAACTGTGTCATGTAGCAATGTATTCAGCAAACCATCGAAGAAAAAGTATCCCTGAAGTTGTTGTTTGTTCTTTTTGTGTGTGTTTTCTTTCAGTCAATGTTCACCAAATATCTGTTGGTGTGTCCCTCAAAACAGATTCACGCAATGTTTTATCCTATTGAATTAATTTGTATATAAATATGAAGACACAGTGTTTTTGTGTTACATTGTCATTAATTGTCATCACTGTGCCAGTTCTGAATCTGCCTCGACACTCCGCTGCTTTTACATCACAAAGTTCTTCGCTTCGTTTCATTCTTCACATTTTTGTGCTTCTCTTTCTCTCAGTTTTTGCATTCTTCCAAATCTTGGCACTCTCCACCAATGTGATGCGCATTTCATGTTTTTGCACTAGGCCACTCGTTGCAGATCACTGCCTCCCTTTCCTTTCTTGGTGCCTTCCTTTAGCAACGCAATTGTTCTTTTGTTTCCCCCTTTTCTCTCCACACCTTGTTTTGTGTCTCTTTCTTATTGTCTATGTATTCTGGTTCGGTCCGGTTGTTTCTTCATGCTTGTCAATTGAAGAGCGTCGCGCCTCTCAATTCATGTTGCGCAAATTGGCAGGGAGATCCACTTGATGTGGCAGTGTGTTTTGCTGCACTTTGCAGAGCGCTAAACATCCGTGCCCGGCTGGTGCGCAGCTTTTGGCTTGGGTATCAGGGCAGCAATGGTTCCAATGTCCTCCAAGAAGTTTTGCTCAAAGTTGCAAACGTTGGAAAGGCATTTGCTTTGGAACAGGTCAATGCATAATATGCATATACAGCATTCATCCTGAGGCCTGCCCAGGGTGCGTCTATCGCTGCTCAACAATTGGAAAAACCATCGCAGCAGCTCTGGCAACGGCTTACGAAAGGCGCAGCACGCTCACTCAAACGCCGCAGAAGGAAGCAACTAAAGGAACTAGCTCCAATTCAGAAACTTGCGATTCTGAAACTACAGAGTGTCCCGATTGAGAAACTCACCCGATTCAGAAACTGGCCGATTCAGAACCAGAAACTCGGGGGTTGGGGGGTGGCGGGGGATCTAATGAAATGTTTGTTTTGATGTAGCGTGGACATATTCGTATTTCACAGACCCGATTCAGAAACTATCCGATTCAGGCCCGTTCTAGTTTCCGAATCCGCACCGTGCCTAGTTTCCGAATCCGTGGCCACCCTAGTTTCCGAATCTGCAGCTCTAGTTGCCGAATCCGCCGTTGACCGCAACAAAAGCCTGCGTGAATTCACCTTGAGAGAACCAACATGGACGCCCCAAATGAGATTCAACACATATATATATATAGTCGTAGTCGTTTGTTGCTTTTGTGGAGTCCAGAGTACGCAGGTGGCCTCAGTGATGAGAAAGCACTAAGCATTGCCTTAGAGATCGAAGCCACAGGAAGCTGCGTCCCTTGTCTTTGCTATCGCAAATTGCATTCCCAAACATTTGTCTCCACGATTTGTCTCTACACGTTAAGGAACAGTTTTGTATTCACCAGCCATCCAAGGTTGCAGAGACTTCTCTTTTGGCTTATGCAGGTACTCCAAAGTTTGTTGCCAAGTTGAAATTGTCTCAATAGGAGAACTTGTGCAGGTGCAGTGCACAAAAGAGATGAAAAGAACTGCGCAAACATCACCTGTTGGGTGGAATGCTTTGATGAAGCTTGGATCCAGACTTATTGCGCAGAAGCAAGTATAATATTGCACCCAAGTGTGTATGAAGATGATTTGCACCAAGTGAACTCTTTGCGCTATATGTTCATATATTTTCTGATATTTGGTCTAACAAGACTGATGAGCTGCTTGAACCACCAGACCTTGCCAGAACTATATCCAACCACAGGACGCACGTTCACTAGCGGTCAAGGCGTGGGTCTTCTCGAACAAACAACATGTTTTGTGCGACAAGTGTCAGCGGTGGTGAGATGCTGAAGACAAAGCTAAAAAATGGCATGCCGTCCCATCAAGCGACCTTTTGTGCACTGCTTTCTTTCAGTTATCCGGGGAGAGTTTTGCACGATCTGTGGAGGTCAGGCAGGTAACTGCAGGGACCCAGACACGCCATTCATCGTGAAAATGACTTCATTCGCGCATGTGCCAAAAGGTGAGCATGGTGCAACTCAAGGACTCTGGTTGAACACAGACATTTCTTTATTGGCTGGCTTAGTCAGCTTGTCAAAGCAATTGCCAAGCACTTCAAATCTCAAGCCACTATTGTACACGACACTCATTCGCCACCCCATTCTGGTCCGAGAAGGGCTCTAAATAGGGAGTCCTGTATGTATATATTTCTCTTGTAAAATGTTTGCATGTACAGCCCATAAATACTCCGCTAGAGTACTACAGACACGTGACTCATGACGTGTTTTGGCTCAAGGTGAAAAGGCGTTCCGAAACGTCGAAACCTCGTTTTCATGGTAGCGCACGAGTCCGGTGAAAGTGACAGGGACAAAGCGCTGCGCATAAAGGAAGAAAGACACAGTAACGTCGAGAGCTCCGAGGAGGAGGAGCTGGGATCCTCGGGAGCGGCAGCTTCTGCCGCCCCGAGTGGAAAAGGAGAAGGAAGTAAAGAAAAAGAGGAGGAGAAAGAGCCTTTGCCAGCCACATCAGCGGCGGATCCAGCCGCAAGCACCACTCCAGCGGTTGAGAAGACCGCAGAAACAAAAGAAGAAGAGGAAAACACAAAAGGGACAGAAGGAGGAGAAGAAGAAGAGCCTGAACAAGATCCAATAGTTGAGCCAGGGGCTGAAGCGGCTGATCCAGCCGCACAGCCGTCATCTGGCCGAGTTATCGCCGACTTCATCACATCTTCAGAGGGTATCAAAACAGGTTGGGAAGTTCGTGGCATTCACGCCAAATACACCCCAGCCAAAGTTGATCCCAAAGCACCCTGGAGGAAGCAGTTGAAGAAGCAGATTTGGGGCCAAGTCAAGAAGCACCCAGAGCCACAGTCCGGATTCCGACTTCGAAGCAAGGTTTCGCTTCAGTATCGGAAGCTCAAGGACCTGGTCAGGCTGCAGAAGAAGCAGGGTGTTATCACAGAAGACTTGAGGAGGCGCATCAAGGACTTTGGCAAGGAGCGCCCGCCGAACGAGATCAAAGAAGAGCGGGAAGAGCAGAAGGTCCGCAATCAAGAGAAGCGGACCAAGAGGAGGAAGACAGAGGAAGAGTCGTTGAGCCTACCGAGTCCGGTTCCGCAACCCCGAACACCGGACGGGCCACCGCCGGCTAAGAGACCGCAAGCCCGAGACACCGAGAGAGGACGGGCGGTCTGGGGACGTGCACTGGAGCTGAACCTCCGCATTGTCACCCTAGCCAACGAGCGGGCCCAGCGATTGCCGATTGAAAATTGGAAATTGGAGAGCCCATTGTGCGAAAGATTGCGGCCGACGAACTCGTTGAGCAGCGAGGCCTCAAAGGTACCGTTGCATTGGCCGCCATTCGTGAACTCTGGAAGACCCCCAACGACCAAGGAAAGAGAGGATCCAACGAGGCCTGTAGTAGTTGTGACGAACGAAAACAGGCACAGCTGCCTGTGGTTCAGGACTACATCAAGCGACGGGGACTTAAGGGCCCTGCTCGGCTTGGATCGAGCGCCAAGGCAAAGGCGGCGCCAAAGGTGAACTTGACACCAAGGGCAAAAGAGAAGGCCAAAGCAAAGGCCACACCAAAAGAGAAGGCCAAAGCAAAGGCCACACCGACAGTTGGCCGCAATCCGGAAGAGCTGACACGGACCACCATCGAGGTTCGTGGAGTGCCAAAAGCTTCCAAACCTTCCCAAGGGTGAAAGCCCTTCGACCGGCCTGGTAAGGGGCCGGAGATCGGACGAATCGTCCGCAGCTGAAAAGGTGCGAGAGCAGCGCCGACAGGGGTTGAGAGTGGGAAACCATGGCTTTGGAGCAACAGGTCCAACAGTTGTCTGATATGGTTTTGCAACTTCAGCAAAACCAGGCACGTTTGGAACAAGAGAACCAGGTACTGAGAGAATCCCAAGGTGGGATATCGATGTTGGCTTCAGCAGTAGGAGAACTGGCTAAGCGCCTTGAGAAAAAGGAAGATAGACGAAAGTCCCAAATACTTATGGACACCAAAGGTTTGGGCCGTCCTGAGAGTTTTGGGAACGTTGAAGGGGAATTCCGAAAGTGGGCTAGGAGCATCGATAACCTGTTCATGTCCACTTTTGGGAGAGAGTTCATTGAAGTTCTTGAGTATATTTTGGAGCAGGAAGACGCGATTGAAATGAGTGCTATGGAGTCCGCGTTTGGGACTGGTACCATAGCAGCTATCGATGATCTAGAGGATAAAGCTGATCAAATTCATCGCGTCCTCCTGACCCTGACCTCAGGTGAAACAGAGTATTTGATGGTAGGAGCTTCGAATGGATTTGAAGCATATCGACGGGTTCACCGTCGTTGGGATCCCCGAACCTCGGGACGGAAACGCAATATACTTCGAGCAATTCTCCAACCCGAACGAGTCAAAACGTGGGCCGCGGTGAGGCCAGCGATCGAACAGCTCGAAGAACTCATCAGGCGGTACGAGTCCCGGAGGAGTGCCGCAGGAATAAGGGAAACTCTATCGGACGACATCAAGGCCGCTTCATTGGAGATGCTGGTGCCCCCAGATTTGGAGAAACATCTTTTGTTGAACAAGAGTAGATTGACAACCTATTCATTGATCAAACAGGAGATTGAACTTGTCATTGAATCATCTCTCACATCAAAGTCATCCGTTCCAAAACCAGGTTCATCGAGTTCTAGTTATCAATGTTATCAAGGACCTCAACCCATGGACGTCGATTCGATCGGACAATGGATTGCAAGCCTAGTCAAAGGAAAAGGCAAAGGAAAAGGTAAACAGGCCAAAGGTGATGGAAAGAAAGGCTCAAGCAAAGGAGGCTCAAGTAAAGGCTCAAACACGGCTCAAGATATCACCTGCTACAATTGCGGTAAGAAAGGACACAGAGCGGCCGATTGCTGGAGCAAGAAACGGCCGGATGGAAAAGGCGATAAATGGTCAGGTTCAGGCAAAGGAGATAGGAGTGGCAAAGGCAGTAAAGGCAAAGGTGGAAAAGGCGGCAAAGGTAAAGCCGCAGGAAGTATGGAAGAGATGGATGATCCGGATGATGGCATTGAGCCAGCTCCGGAAGCAGATGTCGGGATGCTCATGGCAGACTTGAGTGGAATTGGAATGGCGGATACTTCATCCGCCGAAGAATGGATGAAGTTTAACCCGGACACTGGAGCAGCCCAGACAGCCATCCCGAATGGCTGGGAGGACCGAGTGGTTGTCAGTGAAGGCAACGGGGTTGTTTTCAAGACTGCATCAGGAGAGTTGGTGCCCAGTCAGGGCATTGGAACCTTTGAGGGGTTCGATGAGAGCGGCAACAAATGCCGCGTGAAAGGTTCAATGGCCGATGTTCACAAGCCATTGATTTCAGCATCCAAGTGCTTAGGCTTTGGAAGGATTGCAGTTCTTGATGCGAATGGCGGAAACTTGATTCCGCAAGGGTCCAAAGTTGGAAAGGCTGTTCAGGCGATCCTGGAGAAAGCGAGCGCTGCAGAGCAGCGAAGTTGGATCCCTGTGTATCAAGAGCAGGGAGTGTACAATTTCTACTTGAGAAAGCCAGGGTATAAACCGACCAAGGAATGCTGTGGCATTGCAGAGTTGAACGCCGCAGGAGAAAGAGGAGATGCCTCTATGGATTCAGGCCGACCTGGTCCAGAGGGGCGAGAAGAGGATGATGAGTTGGAATGAGTTGATGAGGTTGAGAAACCCATCCAGATAAGAGCACCGGAGGATCCAACTCCGGCTGAGATCGAAGAGCACGAGGCGACAGGCCATGTGCAGTATCGGAATTGGTGCCGGCATTGCATTGCTGGACGGGCTGTAGGACAGCCGCATCGGACGAGGTCCGAGGAACAGAAGGCAAAGAGCCTTGTGCCCACAGTGGCAATGGACTACACGTTCATGTCACGGGGCGGTGTGGAGGACGAGCGAGTGAAGCCGATCCTCGTGGTGAAAGATGAGAGGACACAGTCCTTAGCGGCGACCTTCGTGGACTCGAAGGGAGCGACGCCATATATGCAGTGAAGTTCGTGGCGAGCTTCTTGAAGAACTTGGGACACCGCAAGGTGGTTCTCAAATCGGATGGTGAGCCATCCGTGGTAGCCTTGAAAGAGGCAGCAGCAAAAGAAACCGGCATAGACTGGATTTCGGAAGAATCGCCAGTGGGAGACCATCAAGCGAATGGTCTGGCAGAGAACGCCTGCAAGGAGGTCAAACGTCAAGTACGAGTCCTCCGCAGCGCGTTGGAAGAGAAGCTCAGTAAAGAGCTCAAAGATGATGATCCTGCATTGGCATGGCTGCCAAGACAGGCGGGAGACCTGTTGAGCAGGTACAAGAAAGGTCAAGATGGCAGAACGCCTGAGGCCAGAAGATGTGGGAAGCAGTGGCGGAAACCCGCCATAGCTTTTGGTGAACGCCTATACTTTAGAGAAGTAGGCGAGGGAGTTCGCATCCTGAAAGAAGGGCGCTATGTAGGTCACCATGGCCGAACAGGATCCATTTTGGTGACGACGGCCGATGGCGTGCGCAGAGGTACAGGAATCCGGCGGCTGAGTTCAGCCGACCGCTGGGACCCAAGTGGTTGGGACCTTTTGCGGGGCTTACCGTGGGAGCACTCCGCGGCAAGGCCTGCCGGTGAGCAGTTGATGCTCGAAGAACGTCTTTGTGGTACCACCTCTCAAGGAGGAACGAGTGGCACCACCACAGCAGAGGCGAGTGTACATCAGGAGAGAGGATGTGCACAAGCATGGAGCCACAGAAGGCTGTCCAGGATGCAGGTGCATCTTGGAAGACAAGAGGACGACCTTGCCGCACACAGAAGCGTGCAGAGCAAGGATCACAGAAGCAATGGAAAAGGGTGAAGCTGGGCAAGCGAGACTTGAAGCCCATGCGAAGAAGAGGAAAGAACGGCAACAGCTTGACACTGTGAAGCCGAAAGTCGTGGCCGACAAGGACACCGACATCACGGCCGAAGACGCGGCCGGAGAACCAGAGAAGAAGGAAGAAGCAAAGAGCGCAGGGTCGGGGAGCCCGCCGCCAACAGCGGCAGAGGGTGAGAAGACCTATCCCGATGACCCGAAAGAGAGATATGAGTTGGAAAGACAAGCAGCCGAGATGGAGAAGAAACCAGTGGCAAAAGCCAAGGTAGCAACAGAGCCCAAGAAGAGAACAGGAGAACTTAGGATAGATCCACCCGGGGCAAAGGTCAAGCCGAATCCGGCCCAAGGAACAAAGAGGATGGCAGAGACTGCCGTAGAAGACCTTGATCCCAGAGTGGAAGAGAGTCCAAAGAAAACGTCTCAGTTTTCACATGTTCCAGAGACACCACCCGCAGGGTGGAAGCCAGAGCAGCAAGCTTGGTAAAAGAGAAGGAGATCGCAAAGCAGCATCTGAAGAAGATCATTCAAGGGACCTATGAGGCGAATGGCATTGAGATCACTGAGCAAGAGATCGGAGACATCGCGCATTTGAGTATGCAGATGTCAGCAGTAGATGTCATGGAAATCTACTCGCCCAAGAGGTTCACCGCGCTTGCAGAGCGGTACAAGTTGCGACCGGGCTTCGCGGTTGACTTGAATGAAATGAAAAGTGATGGAACATACTGGGACTTGAACAAGTCAGAGGATGTCCAAGAGGTGCACGACATCTTGGAGAGAGACGAACCGGCTCTCTTGACCGGATCGCCTCCGTGCCATATGTTCTCGCAGCTCCAGAATCTAAACTGGAGAAACATGGCACCGGATGTCAGGAGGAAGAAAATGGACGAAGCCGTCCACCACCTTCATACGAGCGTAGAGCTGTATGTCAAGCAGCATCGCTCGGGGCGAAAATTCCTCCATGAGGCACCATGGGCCGCAACCAGCTGGAAGGATGAGAAGGTTGAGGCCTTAGCAAAAGAAGATGGTGTGTTTGTGGTGAAAGGTCCAATGTGCAGGTGGCAGATGATGGCCACCGACCGAAGAGGACTCCAAGGCACCGGCTATGTGAGAAAGGAGACCGGTTGGATGACCAACGATGAAGGGTTGGCCCGAGTCTTACAAGGAGTCTGCTCGAATGAATCGGGCAAAGGACCATGGCACCGACACATCCATCTGATCGGAGGCATTGCTAGGCAAGCAGCGGTATACCCACCGCAGCTTGTGAAAGCAGTGCTGAGGAGCCTGCGTGACACGCTAGCAGAGAAAGGTGAGTTGAACACCTTCGATCTGTTTGCAGCAGGCCCAGTTCCAGAGATGCCTCTGATGGACCCAGAGTTCGAAGAAGTCTACATGGATGATGTGAACGGCGGCATTTTGCCAGCCGAGAAAGTGAAGGAGGCAAGACGCCTTGAGATGGACTACTTGAAAGAGAAGCATGGTGTTTATGTGCCTCGGCCAAGGGCCGAATGTTTTGAGGAAACGGGGAAGCCCCCGATTCCAGTCAGATGGTTGGACGCCAACAAGGGAGATCCAACAAACCCGAACTACAGGAGCCGATTAGTTGCGCGTGAGATCAAGGCAAGAAAGACCAAAGAAGAACAATTGCCAGCCAACTTGCTTTTCAGCAGCACGCCCCCATTGGAGGCGATGAGACTGCTGTGCTCGTTGTGGGCAACAAAGAGAAAGTCCTGCCACAACCAGCCGCTGAAGCTGGGCTTGTGGGACATCTCACGAGCACACTTTTATGGAACTCCAAAGAGAAAGATCTACATAGAGCTGCCGCCTGAGGACGAAGCCAGCAAAGATGGACAAACCTGTGGACTTCTCGTGAAGTCAATGTACGGGACACAGGACGCTCCAAATATCTGGCAGACGCACTATACAGAGACTCTTTCCGCAGAGGTTTAAATGCGTCAGTCTTCTACCAAGAAGCTTGGGACGTCAGAGTGATGGTGCATGGAGATGACTTCCTAGCACTCGGGGACGCCCAACACTTGGAGAAGCTCAGCCAAGTCCTCAAAGATGCCTATGAGCTGAAATGTCTCGGAATTCTTGGAGACGAGGATGGAGACCGAACAGAAGCCCATTTTCTGAATCGGTTGATTGGAGTCGAAAATTGCGATCGAAGCCGATCGGAGACATGTTGATCTTTTGATCCAGGCATTTGGCCTGGAAAAGGCAAATGGTGTGGAATCACCAGATGTCAAGAAGTCGGCAGATCAGCAAACGCTGGAAAGCCGCAGTCCGCTGCTTGATAAGAGCGAGGCATCAAAGTATCGTTCAGCTACGATGCGCGCTGCGTATCTGTCCCAAGATCGACTCGATATTGGACACGCAGTCAAGAACCTTGCTCGAGGTATGGTGTCGCCAACAGAAGCCAAACTTGCAGACTTGAAACGTCTCATCAGGTACTTGAAGAAATACCCTGATGTTGGGCAATGTGTTGGCTCACAGCAGGCACCCTCAACGCTGAGGGTCCAGGTCGACGCCGACCACGGTGGAGATGCTGTGACACGCAAGAGCACGACTGGCATGGTTGCCATTTATGGCATACACGTGCTGAAACACAGCAGTAACACCCAATCCACCATAGCCCTTTCCACAGGCGAGAGCGAATACTACGCACTCGTGAAGGGCGGATCTGTGGGTTTAGGCCTCCAAAGCCTATGCGCAGATCTTGGTTTGGATTTGGGAATCACCATAGAAGGCGATTCCAACGCAGCCAAAGGAACTGTCAACCGAGTGGGTTTGGGTAAAGCCAGACACATCCAAACTCGCTACCTATGGTTGCAAGAAAGGGTTGCCGAAGGCCACTTGAAAGTGCACCACGTTCCAGGTGTCAAGAACAAAGCCGATGTGTTGACCAAATCGGTTCCTGGGGTGCAACTTCGCAAAACCATGGAGGACCTGCAGTATGCATTCCTCAGCAAGCGAAGCAAAGGACAGTTGGATGTTTTGGAGTAAGGTCCCTGGCCAAGCTCCACTACCACAACTGAAAGTGGCTCAGCAGCGGGAAGTTTCACATACTTTCTTTAAGCTTGCGCAGCAGTACAGTGCTTTGCAAGAGGAGGAGTGTTTGCATGTACAGCCCATAAATACTCCGCTAGAGTACTGCAGACACGTGACTCATGACGTGTTTTGGCTCAAGGTGAAAAGGCGTTCCGAAACGTCGAAACCTCGTTTTCATAAAAGACTCCCAAAACCGTGTCCTTGTCAGGGTTTTGTCCGGCACGCCCTTGGAACCAAGCGCAACATGCTCCCACGTCAACTGTTGGTGTGCTCGTGAAGCCTCACAGCTGAAGATTCCAGCACGCGTCAGCCACACTGCGAGCCCTGCTTCTCCGACCAGCGGTCACAATTCCGAGCAACGCCGTCGCGCCCATGGTGCAAGGATGTAGAGAGAACAAGTGGTTTTGTTATTGTGAGGTCGAAACTGGAGATTGGCTGCTTGGTTGCAAGAAGAGCGTTCATGACAATGAGCATTCAGAAGAATCCCACACCTCTTGCGCGCATTTGAAACCCATTTGCGTTCTGACCAGCCTCAAGGCTTGCCGTGGACACTGTATCTCGGAAGAACTCGTTTATCTCTGGGGAGCGTAATTCGCGTGACATTGCTTGAATCATGTCCGCAACCGGCCGGAACCTTTTTCATGTGATTGATAACGCCCTGCTGTGCCGTTGGGGAAGATTTTGGAGGAGGTTTTAGACGCAAGCCTGAAGCGTCAGGTTCATTCGAGGTGTGACATGTTGAAGCAGGCGTGATTTTGTTGGGCAGGCGCAGCGCTTCGTGAAGTCAGCACAGTTGGTCGCTGTGCCATCGGAATTTGCGTTTGCAGGGTGGTCTTTTGGAGGTGTTGGATATTGCCGCGCCATTGGGATTTGCTTTTCAAGTTGTTGCCTCGAAGCTGCGTTGTCTTGACAAGCCTCGTCTAAAGGCACGAATTTTGTGGCTGTGAGTCATGAAAATGTGATGTAGTCATGGTTCGTGGCGGGCGCAGGGAATCGTGAGGTTGTGAATTTTGGCGGAGGTGAATATCGCTGTGCCATTGACGTTGGTGTGGGCTGTGATTTTTGAGGGCTGGGGCTGCTTGATCTGCTCGCTTTGGCTTCCTGCTTCACTTTGAAGGAAGTCTCGCTAAACGCGCGTTTTGGAGACTTTGACGCTTGGCTTCCGGAGGACGTCTCGTGACTTGACGCGTCACTTTTGGAGGAAGTCTAGCCCGAAACCCTCGCTTTTTGAACTTGACGGTTGGCTTTTGGCGGAAGTCTTGTGCGAAACGCTTGTTTTGGATACATTTGCGCGGAACGCTCGATTTCGAGACTTTGTGTGGAGGAAGCCTTGTCCGAAATGTAATGCTAGCGCTAGTCCTAGCACGAATGCAGCGCAGAGAATCACCCCACTGTTGGGGGAAGGAGAACACGCGTGTGTAAACCAGCGCGTTGCGCGGGATGATTCACGGGTCCGCTGCGTCATATGATTGCGTCTGGTCTGTGGCACACGGAGCGGCGAAATTACGTCCGCTATTTGGATGTTGCTGCGCCACGCAGGTTGAGAGTCCGCTTGCGTAGCGTCGTGCCATTGGGAAACCAAAAGCACGCGTGGCCTCTGGCGGCCTCTGGTCGCCAAAGTGCCCAACAAGATTGTCCCTTCAAGAGTGCGCCACAAGAGTTCCACAAGACTGCGCCACGAGTGTGCCCCACGACAACCAACGTCCACAAGAAAGCGTCCCACAAGACTTCCCCACAAGAGTGCCCCACAAAGCATCCCACAAGGGTGCCCCACAAGAGCGCCCCACAAGAGTGTCCCACATGAGTGCCCCACAAGAGCATCCCACAAGAGTG